ATTCTACTAACCCTAAACCTACCCTAACAGTCTACTCTGAGAGTTAGTAGACATGTAGTTGCAAATTAATGAGAATTAGTTTACATGTAGTTGACATGTAGTTACAAAGTTACTTATAGTTAATAGAATGTCTAAAGTGGACTATCGAAATAAAGTGTAACCGATTTTTACTTTAGTTTGTAATTGTTCATCAAAACATAAGAGCTTGCTTGGCGTCTGAAACAAGTTTTTATTCTGATGACATCATCAAGTCCTCTTAGTTTTCAGCCCCTCCCCTTCTGTCATATAGAAACCACTTTTCAAATTCTAATTTGATAAATAAAATCAAGCCCTGCCCTTAATGTTTGTTATTGAATATACTGTTTCAGCCAGAAATACGGCACATTACAAAAGTAAAATGGGTGTGCGAATGCTTTTTATGTTGATGTTAAGTTTATCTTTATTAAAGGAAATTTGTATGGAAGCCTATTTCCGCTACGGAATGAATTGCGAGATAAAAACTTGCAATTTCCTTTTTATTTATTTATTTTTATTAGAAACAAACACAGAATTGTGAGATATGACTTTTTCTCACAATTCCGAGTTTACATCTCAAAATTCTGAAATTATATTTCACAATTCTGACTTTTTTCTCTAAATCCTGAGTTTATTTTTTCCCTTGCAATTGCAGGTTTATATCTCACAATGCAGACTTTTCTTCTTAGAATTGTGAGTTTATATCTTGCAATTCTAAGTTTATTTCACAATTTTGAGTTTATATGTCCGAAAAATTTTCAAATTGCTTCATAAAAAGTCACAATTACCTTAATTTAGGGCTATTTGCTTATCGGCTAAGGGACAAAATGTTAGATGTGATATACAACTGTGCCTAACGGTTAGGGAATATACTCCAACACGTCATTTGGCATTCAAATTCAGCCTTCAACATTTCCAATTCCTGATTTTAGCAGTGAAAAAAAGAAAACAATAAGAAAAAAAAAAGATCCACCATGCTCTTCTGTGATGCTAGATTTATGGAGCATCAGTATTCGTCAAATAAACGTACACTCTGTTAAAGTTATCCTTCTTTTCGTTCTGATGGAGTGAAGCTTGGCCAGTCCAGATTTGGCCAGTTTACAATATGAGATTCTTGGAACGAATAAAAAACTTGGAGTGAAAAAAACGAACAATAGAGGGTCATCACATGATGGCAGCTGTTTTATACATTCCCACCGTACATCTGCATGGACTCTTGTGTCCGTACCAACATTATGTAAGAAATACATTAAGTTTAACTGCAGGATTGTAATGAACTTACCCGGCAACTTATCCAGACTGTATGGACTTTATCCTGTATCCCAAGCAAATGAGGTGTACAAAACCATAAATTTTAGTCCACATTAATCACTTCTAATGTTCTTCTGAAATTAAATTATGAGGTAATTATGTTTTGTGATTTATGAACTCAAAAATCCCCCTGCATATCCACAGGGATGACAAAATACTACTTTAAAAAACAGAAAGCTTTTATGGACACTAAGCATGAACTGTCTGGTTCATGTATGGCGATCATGTAACACATTTTCATATCTATTTTTCACAACTAAAGGACATATTTAAAAAAAAATGTGTTAATCATCTACCTCATCTCTTTTTAATGTAGGAATATGAGCCCACCATTTTCTATCCCAAGCGTTCTCCTCAGAGTTTGCACCAAGACTTCACCATTCAGTGTGAGAAAATGGACATCCCTTTCCTGTCCTATCTTCCGACGGAGGTAGGTGTCAATCTTGAATAATGAAGCTCAGCCCATCGGCAGAGAGATGTCAATGTGATGTTCACTCTTCTGGACATCTGTCAATCCTAATCGAATCCTGTCTGACCCCACGACCAGGTCCAGCTGTTAAATGATGCCTACAATCTGGTGATCGACGCCATCCTGGGACCAGAAACCGACCACAAGGAGGTTAAAGAGCCCTACGCTGGGATGCTGGTGACTCTCAAACAGGTCAAAATACCCATCGTTAGTGTGGACGTGCCCTCAGGTATTTGCTCATTAAACATTTTTGTGTTTTTGCCCGTGGCATTCTTTAGTGTGCAGTAGCACAATGAAAAAAGATGTTACATTCAGTAAATACAGTAGCTACTTGCTAGAAAAAGAAAACGTTTCATGAAAAAGGTCTCAATCTGTTCAGAGGAAGGTTTTGGTTATTTTTGTCAGACTCAGCTTATCAAGACATAAGGGGCCCTATTTTAACGATCTAAGCGCATGGTCTAAAGCGCACGGCGCAGGTGCACTCAGGGCATGTCCGAATCCACTTTTGCTAGTTTAACGACGGGAAAACGGTCGGCGCGCCCGGGCGCATGATCTAAACGGGTTGTCCCTATTCTCTTAATGAGTAATGGGTGTTTTTTGGGCGTAACGTGCAATAAACCAATCAGAGTCTCATCTCCCATCCCCTTTAAAAGCCAGTTACGCTCGCGCCATGGTTGGTTCAATATTTACATGGCGGAATGTAATTTTTCATTTTTAAAAATGTTTGTGTGCTGCTGCGCGTCCCTGTGTGTGTAATAAGCAAAGTGTATGCCCGCTGTGCACCCGCCTATTCCTTTATATATTTGTGAAAGTTGGGTGTTTGAAGAAACATTGGATGTTGAAAACCCACGGATGTTATTATTTAGCCAAACCTTGGAAAATGAGCTCCATTAGCCAATATTTGGGAACAAGAGGTAGCTACGATATTCTTTAGACCATACAGTATATTATTTCTTCCCAGAGATTTATTCAAAAGTCAGGAAAAGGCGTGGGTGATATAAAGGAATGTTTCTGTCTAAAGCAACAACAGTTACAGTATGTGGACAGGAATACCGAAGCAGCGTAATGATTCATCGCAAACGCATTATAGGCCATTTTAGGACATTGTGTAAACTCAGATATATTCATCAAAAGGTGGACATGAACTCATCCGGAGATCATATTTCTTAGTCTGCCAATAAACATTTTACATTTTTGTCCACCCCACTGAAGGCCAAAAAGAATGTTTATTGTCTTTAAACACGCATAGAGAGCTCCACAAAGGTAACCGGCAAAAGAAGCCATATGCACTCAATATGGTGACAAAGGAAAATATGAAAATCTGTTTAGACTGCAAACGAATTGGGGGAAATATATTGGTCTGTGCTTTTCTTTGCAAATTTGTCTGTTTATTCTGTTTTGATACCACAATTCCCTGAAATCTACCATCTTTCTGACTGATTTTTTGTCAGACCCATTTAGTGAAATATTTGCTGTGCTTCTCAAAGCTTTCAAAACAGCTGTGCAAAAATGACTCGAAATGTTGGACGACACCATGGATTGGCGAGTGAACGCATCTCCCCGTCATGGATGTGCTGGTCATGCATGATCCTAGACAGTGGAACAGGACTGTACATGTAGCATGCATGGGAATATTTACAAATGGTTAAACACAATTACCTTTGCTCATGAACCATGAGTTAGACTTCAAAGTTTGGACTTAACAATACACTAATAGTGTGGCACGCTGGTTTGAAACCTATATTTCACTACTCCATCAAACAGTTGAAAATGACATTAGAATGGGATGCACAATATTTATACCATATCTGCAATTCTGAAGACTTTTAAAAAAAAGTTTATTATCAGTAAATATTGGATGTTTCATTATGCATATTAATTTCACATTTAGATTATCTTTGCTGTAATATGACACCCAAAAATGAAAATTTACTCATCATCAGGTCATCCAAGATGTAGAAGAGTCTGTTTCTTTGTTGGAAAACAGTAGAAGAAATGTAGCATTACATCACTCGCTCACCAATGGATCCTCTGCAGTGAATGGGTGCCGTCAGAATGAGAGTCCAAACAGCTGATAAAAACATTACAATAAACCACATGTAATCCACATGACTCTAGTCCACCAGTTACTGTCTTGTGAAGCAAACAGCTGTGAGTTTGTAAGAAACAAATCCATCAATGAGTTTTTCAAATTATTGTTTCTGGCCAAAATATCCATAATCCATATTCCATAATAATGCTTCCTCCAGCAAAAAGGTCCATCCCCTGTTGTCCTCTCACATCAAAACATCACCAACATATTTGTTTAGAACTGTTTTTACTCATAAATGGCGCTTGATCTGTGCATATTTCTCTCCTGATTCATATGAGACAAATTGTCACTGGAGAAAGCAATATAATAAGGACTTGTATTTTATTTTATTATGAACATGCAGCTTTTTGTTTCACAAGAAGTTAATTGATGGACTGGATTGGTGTGGATAACTTGTGGATTATTGAGATGACTTTCTTTCTGACGGCACCCATTCATAGCAGAGGATCCATTGGTGAGCAAGTGATGTAATGCTAAATTCCTCCAAATCTGTTCCAATGAAGTAAACTCATCTATATCTATCTATATATATGTGAGTAAATTTTCATTTTTGGATAAACTATTCCTTTAAAGAAAAACAAAAGGACACACTTCACCTTCAAGCAATGTGAAATAGTTATTATGGATCAGTTTCTGTGACAGTTATACATTTTAAACCTTTTGGCTGTTTACAACTCCCTTTGTATGCAACAGGTGCGTCACATTACAGTCATTTTACTGTGTTGCGTCAATGAATGTTGGACGAACATTCCTGCAATGCTCGACATAGTTGCATGCGAGTAAAATGAGAAAAATCCATTGTGAAATAAACAGATTTTTAAACAGATTTTTTATGAAATTAATCTGCTGTCATCACATTAACATCTTCATTCTTGGTTGAAATGAAGTAAATGGCCAGAGCATAATAAAACACACAATGTCCTGCTCAAACACCCAGTAATCCAGAATATCTTGATTAAAAACTCAAACATAAAATTTTTCTGATGCAACCAACATTCACCTTTCTTCTACATCTGTGTGTTCTTTTTTTGTCTGTTGGAATGATATAAGAACACAGATGTTAGCGCAATAGCCAATGGCGAGCAGGAGGGGGCTGGTCTGGACCACTCTCCACTCCATCCTGTCTTTTAAAACTCTGGGAAGTTCACGAAACTATCAGACTTGATTTTGAAGGACGGGGGGGGAAACAAATTCATTGGTCAAGCCACTCAAGAACTTGACAACTTGTGTCTTTAATTTATTTTTTGTTACCAACAGCTGCCCATCCGTGGCTGTGGCACTATGTGGGACTTCACAGTCGGGACGTTGGTGCTGTCTACCGTCTTTGTTGTGTCTCTGGCACAAGGTAATGTCATTTAAATAATCTCATAATTGTCTTAATTAGAACATGTAAGGATGTTATTCATTATGTAACAGTTTGGATACAGCTGTCAGCACGTAAGACTTACGGGGGAAAAACAGTGAGAGCTTGTTTGTTTGTGAAAGCTTAATCAACTTACATGGCTGGAGTGATGTTTAGTAAATCACACAGTTGTTGCATACAGAACTGCTTCTGTTTGCTTCACTGCTATTAATGGACACTTTGAAAGTAAAGTTTTTACTAATTATGTAAATTCAAAAGGATGAAGGTGATGAATGTGAATTTTAACTAACTACCATCTGCTCCAGCTGTTATTTATTGCAGTAAACAACTGCAGTACTAGTGGTTGGACATGAAAACAGAACAGAAGTGGCAATGGCACCTTATCATATTGTCATTTATGAAATTTCCTTTCAAAAGTCTTATTCAAAATAGTGTGTCACAAAGCACCATTATTTTAAACATAATGCAAACTATTTCTGATTCCTCCCAAAAGTCTTCGTACTGGAAAAGTAAGGTAGGCTATGACTGTTGAGGAATTCATTATTTGAATGACTGACTGTCATGAATACTGGGAAACTGCCCACCAACCCAGACTGAAATTTGGAGAAGCACCGTTTCATTGGCCTCTGTTCCATTCACTGTCACTCCATCTCGCCTCCGGTCCACCTCAACTTCTCCACGGAATTTATTACCTGTTTCCCAACACGCGTAGACAGCCGGCACGGAAAATAGCGCCTGACATTGCTGAGCTCTAAGTCAAGCCTTTTAAAAACCTTTAGGACTAAAATTCGGTTTTAAATAACCAGATGTCGCTCAGTCATCTGGTAATGAGCTGCAAGCCCGCGCGTCCGTGCCAGCTTCATCCAGGGCACGGCGAAGCCATTTTCAACGCTCCAAAGTAAATATTGCCACTCTCTAATCTGCTCCATTCAAACGATTTATTCTCCAGATGTTTCACTTTGCTCTGAAGTTCAGCTGCCCGGTACATCAATCTCTGATGCTTTGAAGTGAAAAAGAAAGTGGAAAGAGGGATCAAAGGTAATGTGCGAGAGGTTACACGTCTCAATTTCGCTCTTTTTCGTGAGCGGCCGCTACCTGAGCGCTAACTGAATGTTAAAAAACGAACCTCTCTGACTAAATTCTGATTGGACGCACTGATTTCGGGGAAATGTTTGTTTATATAGTAATAAATAATAATAAATGTACCTATTTATTGAACATTAGTGTCCTTGGTCATTGTGCTGTTGCCGCCATTTTATATTTATCACATGTAGTACTCGATTCTTGGTTACCGTGATTTTACTCCACTTTACACCCCTTATAGAGGTAAAGTCACAGCAGGAAAAAGTTAAAATATATAAACATATGTTTACTCTAGAAGCAACACATGTAAGACTTGTTTTTAAAGGTGTCTAATACTAGTTTATTTTGTGGTGTAAACAATCTATATAAAATATTCAAGATGCTTTTAAAAACAAGATTTAATTATTAATAATATTTTATCTAGTTTTATATTGTTTTAAGAATTTGTAGGTATTCTATTAACAGAAAACAAGTTTTAAAAAAGGACTAATTAATGTATTTTTATTTAGAAAACTACTCTTCTCCAGGGTATTAGTGTATTCTACATTAAAACCGACGCTTGAGATCAAATTTCTGGATGAAACGGTTCAAAGACAAGGAAAACCAATCCAGATCATTTTAAACACACACAAATCTGGCTGGGGTTTCATTATTATGCAGTGACAATGAAGCAGTTCAGTTTAGAATAATGGAGCACAGATGCATCCCACTTCAGAGTCTATGGAACAGTCCTTGTCTCCTACTCTTCTT